CTCCCTGGTCCAACACACTTGAATCCAACAGCTGAATCTCCTCCTCAGTGCAGTCAGGTTCTCCAGTCCTGCTAACGACCTCATTATTTGACTCAGGTGTGTTGAAGTTGAGACGCATCTAAAAGTTGCAGGAGACCGGAGGCCTGGAGTTGCCCACCCCTGCTCTAGATTCTGCTGTCAGTTAGATTCCAGCTATGGATTAAAAAGAAATTATTACATTAAAAAAAAAAATTGATTCCAAAAGAAAATTAAATGGTGTAACTTCCATTACCAGCTGCCTCTCATGGCTGTGTTGGAAAATGTCAGTAAGCTTTGCACATTTGGCAATACAAAGTATTAATGCATTTATTTTCTTTAATCTGGCTTTTTAAAAGGTACAATGTAGAACTCAAGTTTTTAAATGTTATAATTTTATGCGCTGAAAAAGTTAATTCCTACTCAGCTTTACTCATTGCCAGCAGCTAAACTTCTCCTCAGTAGTAGACATGCGAACTGACGCCATGATGTTTTTTCCTACAGCCCTCAGTATATGAACGAAGCGGTCCGTTCAAACTCTCCCGATTACCTGCTTATCAGTTATGTTGACTCGGTGGCCCACGACAAGTAACATTAGGGGGGAAAAGAGCAGGACACTTCACGTAGATAAATATTTCTGGTCGAGTCAAACTTTATAGTAGAGGTTGGGAAGTCATGAGATAATGGCGCCACGTGCTCGAAACGAAGAAGGACGAAGCTTAGCGAGATATAAACGCACACAAAAGGTAACAAGTTATGTTGCTTTTTACGCTTTAACCACTTGCCAGGTTAGAATATGAAAGAAATAAGTATGGAAACTAATAACTTACCGAACAAGGTAGATCCCATCACTTCCGTTGCTTTTTAACTGCATAAATCCGAGTTGGGAAGTGACGTCACTCTGCAGAAAATTCATACTTTCCAAATGGAAGTACTTCTTGGACTTTTATTTAAGTATTACTCTCCTTTGAGATACGTTTACATTGCGTTTGAATAAATGCAACGTAGATTACGCAGGAAAGGAAATGAGAAAAATCGGACTTAAAACCATTATTTGAATTGCGAGGATAATGTTTAGACGGGCGTAGAGCCCACTATTGGCTAAATAAGGTATTGAAGCAAGTAACCCAATTTTTAAACGACACACACGGACGAACAGATGACTTTCAGACAACATTCAGACTCTCTACAATGACAAAAAAGAGAGATTTTGTCAGAAATATTAACCACCATAAAGGTTTTAAATATATTAAAATTCGGCGAACGTCAAGTCTGAACATTTGTTTATTTATTGTTTATTAAGACATAGAAGAGACGTTTGCATTAGAATAACAGCAAGAGTAACAAAAAAAATCTTAAAAATTTATTTTGTAGGGAGAAATAAAGCTCTTTGTAATGCCTCCGTTTTTTT